CAGAATGCCTGAGAATGGCTCAAAGCTTTTCCAGGGGACATTCAGACTAGACATTATTAAGGAAGCATTTCTTTACCAAGAGAGTGGTGAAACACTGCAACCAGCTTCCTAAAAGATGGTTGATGCCCAGGTATGTCGGTGTTAAGAGGCACTTGGATTGTGCCCTTAATACTATATTTTAACAATGTTTCAGCCCTGAAGTGGTAAGGCTATTGAACTAGATGATCAGTGTTGATCCTTTCCAAATGAACTAGTCTAGTCTAGTCTAGTCCTGATGCTATTACACATTAGCTAGGGAAGAGGTCCAAGCATTTCAACTTGGTGATACTAAGGTTTTTCAAAAGGGAGTAAGTGCATTCACTTATTATTAATCATAAATGCCATTCCCAGTATATCACCCTGATTTTTTTTCCTGATTTTTTTTTTTTTTTTCCTTATGACTCACCCTAAAGTTAATTGAACAGAAGCATTGCTGTAAGTCAGAGTAACTTGGTAGAAGTATTGCCACTGCTTCCTCTCCAATCCCTGCTAAAATTTCTTGAGAACTTTACATCTCCAGGAATTCTATCATCCGCTAGTCTTTTAACTTTTAAAAGTTTTAGCACTTCCTGTGTAAGGAAGAACATGCATGTTCAGGTGACATACTAGAGTTTTTCTATTTTGAGAGAGTTTAAAACTCTGGTCTGTGGAGGTAAGCAATTGTAAGAGTTATTGTTACCAACTGAGGTAGAATACAGCTAGAATTCAGATACATTATTGCAACTCCTCGGTACAAATATAGTGCAAGAGAGTATTTTACTGTTTCAAGTCAAGTGGTAAAGAGAGCAAAAAAAGAGAAATGCATGGCTGTCTTGCCTGAACATATCACCATGGCAAATGACGAGTGCAACTGGTAATAAACCCGTGCTTTCTGCTCTCAGCCACATGTCGTGATCAGTAGGTCTTGTAGCCTCCCATCCCAAAAGAATCACTAGAAAAGGAGAGAAAGCAAAGATGAAGCAGAGGGCAAGTTAGGAGAAAAACACACATACTTCTGCCCTGTTTAGCCTATTTGCCAAAGGAAAGGAGGCTTATAAATCAGTTGTATGTGGTTCTGTGCTCCTCAGTGATACTTTAACCTTTTCATTAAGTATAGGAAAGCAGCAGGAGGTCTCAGCATTAGAACTTTTTAACAGTCTTGTAAAGACTGGTGAGAGAAGCAACTATTTCTCTAATGCACCAATTTTCTTCTTAATAGATGCCAAGTAAATCATGCAACCAGGAGAACAGCTTCTACTGTAGCTTGCTTGCATTGCAGATCACTGAGAATCCACCCAAAAGACAATACAAGAGAAACTGAGATCTACTCACTTCCCTGCTTATGGGAATGTTTATTTTATTGTGTTAAGTAGAAGAAATTATAAGAATTCCTCAATCCACTAAACATCTGTTCACTGAAATGCATAAATAACATGAACCAAGCAAATTACAGAGCCTAGCTTTTTAGAAGACTACCACATTTATCTAGCAGGGGGATTTTTTTTTTAAAGAAAATAAGGTCAGAACTATAATTGGCTTTGGGATGGGCAAAGAGGATATCTGTTAGGAAAGCAGAATGTGAAAAGCTGAAATAAGTTAGAGTGACAACATAATATTTTGATTATTAAAATAGAAACATGAAAGCCTTTTCAGTCCTATTGGAGTAAGCTACATTACATTGAAATCCTAGCACTGGGAAAAAATTGTGACACATTTTAAAATTCTATGCAGAGTACTCTAAGTACTCAATAACTGTTCAGTCTAACTTCACAGAAAGGTCAAAATGAGAAGGGCTTCAAAAAGAGGAGGGGATGACCCAGTACAGTTTTTATCATCAGGGAAGTTTGTGACAACTTCAGGACAAGACAGAGATGGCTGGACAAAAATGAAATGAAATCTCTCAATACAGTCTTGAATTGGGCTACATTCTTTTCACCTATCTGTGCACTTCACACCATTGAGACCTCTTTCCTAATCAGACAGATTACCATTTTGATGTTGTAAAAACTGAATTCTACTGCTTCAAACTTGGACTGGATATATCATATTGACTCTTTGGGGTTGCTTTTAAAATTTTTTTCCCCTGGATTTTGTAGAGGCAGAAATAATGTTTAATTCTGAAACCTTCTCTACAATATTTTATTAACTTAATGGTTGGACTCACTGTGCACATTTGCAAAATTATAATTGTAATCAATTTAAGTGGCTAATCATGTACTTTAGAAGTTTACACTAAACAGTCCTGTTACCGGGATAGCAGTTTCTGTTACTGCTATGTAAATCCTAACTATATTTCAAAGCTGCTTCTTAGTACTTGGTGTTTTGAAATGCTTTAAAATTTACATTATAAACAAGTTCCTATTAAAATAGCACTATTAGTCATTAAAAGTAGGACATTCTATAATGTATAAGGGTAACTGGACTTCTGTGACATGCATGGTGATTGAATTTTTTAATTGCATGATAACAGGATCATTTTCCATAGGACTTGCACCTTGTTCAGCGTGCCAGTATTCACCTAATGAGCTGCTAAGCAGCACTTTGTCCATTCTTTCTGAATGTTGTCTCTTAATCCAGCAAAATCTATTCCTTCACCCTCCTCATTATTTTTTTATCAAGTCTTATTGTGTGCTGACAAGTAACAGTTTCCCTGGTTAGTTCCCATCCTCATATCTTACCTATCTTTTACCTACTCTTAAATTTATTCCCTTCCATAGAAGCTGAGGCCTAGCTGTTTCTTTTGTTCAGCCTATCCTAGCCGTAACCTCACGAGAGGTTTTCCTGAGCATTCTTCTCTTTTCTGTGAGCTTTATTCCTTCTATACTCATGTCACATGATCTTTTCTTCCATTTGTACTGGAAGCCAATGGGAGACCTGTTTCCCAGGTTCTTCTTGTGACTTTTCCCTACAGGTTATGGAGAAAGTAAAAACAGTCAGTACAAAGGCACAGATGTACATGCAATTGAGTCACACAAGGGAACCATAAAATTTACAGCTTGTTCAACCATAAACATTAGAAAAATTGCAAAAGTGCATGTGCAAACAAGTGTTAGCATAGGGGTGGATGCTGCACTTCTCTGTCACACTATCAAGCTGAACACTAGCAATCCTAGGGATTTTTTTCTGATTGTTTAATGTGGAAACCAGAAGGAATTATGCTCTTTTGCTCCACTCTAACATAACACAAAGGAAGCAAGGGAAGGGGGGAGGGCAGTCACCAACAGTGGCTATTCTATTGTTTTCTCTCAAAACTTGGCAAAGCAACAAGCTAGACACAGCTGAAATGTGCTGGCTAAAAACTTCTCAAAACTTTCATCTGAGACAGACACAAACCATGCCTAGCATCATCATAGGGAAAGTTTGTCAAAGCCAAAGATACCTGAAAACAGGGTTGCATAAAAAAATAAAATATTAGTAATCCCTGTACATGTACTAGCATTGCCTAAAATTCTGATTCACATGCTTTTAGGCATACGATGCATGAATTACAAATTAACGGTATGCTCTAAATGCATATTTTGGTTTGGGGTTGTTATTTTGTGGTTGGTCAAGGAACGCTTCCTTGATTTTGGTATTTTTAGAAGTACATAATTTGATTTCAAAACAGGTCTACAAAAATTGTCTCAGCTCAAATATGATCTCCCATACTGGGGAAATTAGGAGTTGGAGGGCTCTTTGTTCATGAGTTTGCATTTGAGATTTTTTCTTTTTTAAAAATCCGTTCATGGCTTATTTGCCATTCCGAGTCAGAAAGAAATCCCCTTACTAACTGACTTCCCTCCATTTATCGTGATCAAAAAGCAGTCATATTTCATTGTCTTGAGGAAGGTAACAGACCACAGGAAAGGATCTGGGCATCCTGGGGGACACGAAATTAAACACGAGCCTAAATGTGCCCTTCCTGCAAAGGTGAGTGGTAACCCGGATTGCACGAGGCAGATGGAGGGAAGGGATCCCTGCCCTCTGCCCAGCACTGCTGAGGCCACACCTGCAGGGCTGTGCTGAGTGCTGGGCTCCCCGGTTCGGAAGACATGAACACACTGCACAGAGGGCAACAAAGGGCCACAAGGATGAAGAAGAGACAAGAAACCATCTCTCCTAGGAGGAAAGGCTGAGAGAGCTGAAACCGTTCAGCCTTGGAGAAGAGGCAGCTCGGCGGATCCCATCCACCTGTACTAACACCTGCAGTGCCAAGGGGACGGGACCAGGCTCTCCCCAGCAGTTTTCGTCCTTCTTCCCCCAGGGCTTAGCGGCCACAGAAGCAACGCTCCTCCTGTGTACCTCCGCCGCTCCCGGCCTGAGCCGCAGCCCCTGGCACGGTGGTTCTCCCTATTCGCGCGGCGGAGTACGTTCAGCATTGTCCGGCTCCGCTTTACCGAGCGGCCCGGGAGCGGGCGCGGGGGCCTGAGGCCTCCCGGAGAGGCCGCAGCGCCGGCCTCGGAAGGAGGGGGGGGGTGACGTGCGGCCGCCGCGGGAGGCCATGGCGGGGGCTCGCCCGCGGCGCCGCGGGGATTCCTCGGGGCGGGGCCGCCGCGGACGCGCCGCTGCTGGCCCCGCCCCTATATAAGGGGCGGCCTCAGCACGGCCCCGACCGCGGCCGCTGCGTCTCCCGCACCGCCCTGCGCTCGGAACCATGGCAGGTCAGTGCGCGCCCGGCTCGCGCCGCTCTGCGCGGGGGCCGCGCTCGCGGAGCCGCGCTCGCGGAGCCGCCGGCGGCCGCGGGGTCGGCGCGGCGGGATCGGCGCGGCCGCGCCTATTCTTAGGCGGCCGTGCCTGTCTTTAGGCGGCCGTCCTGGCGGCGAGCGGGCTGGCTTCGCCTGGGGGGGGCAGGGGCTGCCCGCGGGGGGCTCGGAGCCGGCCAGCCGGGCACCGCTGCGCGGTCTGAGAGGACGCGGACGGTGCCGGCTCTTTCCGCCCCTCGCTCCGTGCTCTGCCCCATGCTCCGTCCCCTAACGGGAGGGATGTCGCCCGCGTGGCGGGGAGCAGGATGGGCCGGAGAGGCCACTGTAGGGGTACAGCGGTGAAAACCCAGCCCTCTCCTAAAACGCCGAGAGAGCTTGTGATCTATGTGCTTTTGATACTTTGCAGTGAATAGGTCCTTACGGCTCTCCGTGTACGTGTTACTTCTTTCTTCCGGTATTTTTTGTTTTTGTTGTTGTTTGGAGTTTTTTGTTTGTTTGCTTTGTTTGGGTGTTTCTTTGGGGGTTTTTCCTTTTTTCCCCGATTTTCACCTAAAGATGTCAGCAAAGTCGGTTTCATTTTCAGGTCTGGAAGCCTGCAGGAAGTGTGCCCTCCGATGCATGTCTTGATAAGATGCTCCTGTCTCTCTAGGAATCCTGTACTCAAAAAACAAATTAGATATACTAGCACCTAGCTCAGAGAATAGGAGAAAAGGCAAGCACCTGTGAACTCTGGCTATGCCTAGGACAAACCTTCCAGGAGAGTTTTTAAATGATCTGGGGCAAGCACTCCAGTAACCTCTGCATGCCATGAAATGAAAGATCGCTTTTAGCTCAGACTTCCAGGATGCTAGTGGGTGTGTAAGGGCTAGCACAAAAACTCTTGCAAAGAGATATTATAGCCTATGAACTGGGCAGCCAAAGAGTTCTCTGAAGTAGCATGGTTTTGTCTGGGTAAGTCAATTAGGAAGCTGGGCAACTGCCTCTCATTCTTTGTGGTTTTGAGAACGTACTCTCACCAAGAGTTCATTATGTTTCAGGCCTAGCAGTGGCTGCTGTGTAAACACAAGATTCTGTGAAGAAAGTGTTTACAGAGAAGGGGGAAAGGATGAGAAGGGAGACCCACACAGCTGAAATACTTGATGTTTTGGTAGAATGGACTAGTCTTTTGCAGCTATAACTTCCATAGTAAGCAGCAACTGGTCTTGCCCAAATTGTAGCATGAGCTCATGTACTTAGAAATTATATGGAATAGAACACTTAGGTATGAGATGTAGATGATATTGACCACAGGATGATATAGAGTAGATACAATAGAAACTTTAGATATAGAATAAAACATAGTTTATTCGAAACTTTGGAAAGTTATGCTGACTTAGATGGTCTCTAGGTTGGCAATGGTTGGCAATATTAACCTCCTGTCAAGCAGTTGTAAAGTTTCCTCCTAGAGCTGGGACACAGTAGCGGGCTGCATCATTAAATTGACTTTATTTCCCTAAAGACCTTAGTGTGTGTGTGTGAATATTCAGTTTCAAGAAGATGAGACAGAGTAGACGTGTACCTGCTAACAGGTCAATGAAGAAAAGATCTGTCTTTCAGTGGCAAGGTCACTTTAAGAATTAGTGCTGCACTGCTAGGGGAAAAAAACCCAAACAACATTCAGATGAATATTGGGCACAATCCCACTTTGTCTACACTGGATTTTTAGTGAGCTGTTGAGACCATAGTGTCAGACTTCCATGTATTGAATGGTAATGTGCCAATTACCTAGTGAAAAACCCTGTCCCATTAGGAGGCTGTTTATACAACTTAAAATATTACACTCTTGCCCTTTAAAGAAACATGAAGTTGTTCTGCAGATTTGCTGAATATGAACTAGTACAAATAGGCAGCTAAAAGTGAATTGAAACAAAATATCTTTATTCCTGGCATTATAGAAGCTTTTTTTATCTTTGTAATTGACCACTATAATCTAAATCCCTTGGGACTAGTTGGTTTTGCTGCTAAGCAAAATAGAAGGTTTTGTAGCTGGTCTATAGATCTTGCAGACCAGGTTTGCAGAGCTTGTAGGCAATTATGGTACGTGATTGTCTGTTGTCAACTGTTAAGGGAGTATTAAGTTAAAAAGATATTGATGATGACTGCCTTGTGAGTTTAGGCTTTGTGCCAAACAACAATTTTTCTGAAAGGAGTCAGTATTGTAATCTTGCTACTAGGCTTGACAGTGAGCCTTTAAGAGCCCAGAACTCTCACTCTGATCTAACCTAGTTAACACCTTTTGTAATGAAAAGAAATCAAAGTTGCTAAAATAAATTTGACTCTTTTAATTCTTATGAAGAAACTGTTTTGTTGATAGAGTGAAAATCGATTGGTGGGAAAGACCATGCTTTGTAAAGTGATATAACTTTGAAAGGAGGTCTACATTAAAATAGCTAACAGTGAACTGAAGAGCTTTTATAAGTTACTTGTTTGCTTTTATGAGTCCCCCTCTGGCAGTTTAAAACATGAAAGAAGGCAAAGCTTGTATAATATGGTTTCAATAAGTACTATAGGGTAAAACAATCTGTCTTAATCTATATTTAAGATACAGCTGGAGCAGGAGATTATAGTACCTCTTTTTTGCTCAAAGAGTAAAAATTATTCCTGCAAGTTCTAAATTGCATTTTGCATTACTAGTTACTTCCCGTTTAAATTTTGCATTCTTGTGACAGAGCTGCTACCATGGGTTGCAGAACAACTCATCTGCAAAATCCTGAGCTAGCAAAACTTAAAACTGTTGTCTAAGATATAATTCAATGCTTACTTTCATTTGAAAATGAATTGCCAGTTTTACGCTGCTTTAGCTTCAGGGTTGAGAGCTGAACCTAGAGAAACTCTACATCCACTAACTTTAGGCCAAAAGCAAGCCCACAGACTCCAAACACTTTTTGTATAATAGCATATTAGTGGCCCAAGTAGAGCTCTTTAGAATTTTGGATTGTCTCTACTTTTGGCATGACTTATTTAACCTGTGGGCAAATTTGAACTGGTGCTCTCTTAAAACAGTCTTGATTTTGTGGGTCATTTTACTGCATTTTGCCATGTGTCAAGTTACCAATAGCAAATGTAGCTATGCAAACAATCTGCTTCATTGAGTCACGTAGGAAGGCCCTGTACACAGAATTAAAGGACACATCTTAGAGGTCTCACAGCAAGATTACCTAACAATACTAGGTTTCTAATGTATCTGTCTCAGAATAAAATAGTGGATTGTGCTAACTTGACCACATTCATTTCTTCCAGACCAGTCTTTTGTGACTCTAGCCACAAATGACTCCTATGTGAAAGGAGCGCTGGTACTTGGTTCATCCTTGCAACAGTATAGAACAACAAGGAAGCTGACTGCACTCATAACTCCTCAGGTCTCAGATCTTATGAGGTAAGGTCACTTACATGCTTCAGACTGCAACAGTTCCTGCTGATGTGCAGGTTGAAAAATGGAAGTTAACTTTCTTAACAGTAACCTTTCAAAGCTCTGGAAGCTGAACAGCTAATTTCAGCAGAACTCAATTTATCTGGAGTTCTGTAAGTTCTTCAAACATGAAACTGTTTATGTTTTGGTGTGGTTTTTTTTTTCTTCCCTACGATGAGTTAAACAAATAGTCTGCAGTTAGAGCTCTAAACCACGACTTGATACTGATATTTCTGCTAGATCTTTGCTCTTCTGTAGTCCTGCTTAGAATTGTCCGACAATGTAATATTGCCCACGCATTTGTTAGTGCTATGTGTATGCATGTGGAGGTGGGGGCAGGAAATTAGTGTTTGTTTGTTTTGCAGAAATATTCCCAATTGACATAATATAACACAAGCTCTATTGAAATCTAGCGGACACTTCAAATTTTATCATGGGAGAAGCGAGCAGAACTGAGGTAGCACCAAGTATGTCAAATCAGCAGCTGAACAGAGGCATCTAACAAGGTCAGCACAGTACATCAAATGAAAGGAAAAGGCAACTGCTTCCTACAGCCTCCTTAGAATAGTCTCACTAGTGAGTGGACTGGATTCTTTCCACATGTAAGAGGGTAAAAAAAAAAAACAACGAAACAGTTGATAGCTATGGGAAGTACAGATAATAAGTCAAGATTCTCTACATGGGAAGTAATTCTGAAAAGAGTTATCAGTATATAGACACAATAGAGAGGTGACTCAATTTAAAAAATGCAGTGACTTTCCCTGGAGTCTCCTGGCAGCTAAACGGTTGTATCGCTTTCAAAATGTTGCGTATAGGAACATCCATTTCAGCCTACTAGGTGAGTGTGCTCTTCTAAGATGAACCTTAAATGTGCCTATGTGCTAGTGAAAGCCACCTAGTACTGCGCCCTTAGACCGGTGATACTTATGTACCTAATGGTGTAATTGGAACTTGCATTTCTCGCCCTGTCTCCACTAACAAAGTATGCCTGAAGTTCAGAAGCGGTACCCACCAACTGTCAGTATAAAGACTGCCTTGCAAGGCAGAGTTCCAAAACTCATTTAAAAGCTCTGTGGGGCTTAAATTGTACTGGCAATTGCTAAGCATTCAAGATATGCTGAAGAACAGTAAGACTTTACTGATGTTTCCTGTTTTAAGCAGCACAAACACCTTAATCTCTTGAACTAATGGTAATTCTCTATTGATGGTAAAGCAAAGGTTGGATATCTACCAATTTCACTACACTGCCTGAAAGTTTGTCACTCTTTAGTGAATATGGTACTGGTTCAAAACATTTTGTACCCACAGCCATAACTAAGTTAGTGTTCAAAAGACTTCATGGGATAAAGAAAGTTTTAGTAACTAGGCAGATGCCTCAAATGTCACAAATCCAAAACAGTGTAAATATTGCATAAAATTGGTCTAAGCTGCTTCAAATTCAACTACTGTCCTGCTCAAGCTAGGCTAACAGCTTCCCATTTCTTAATTGTCTGCTCAGAGTAGGTTTTTAAGTTGCTAGATATTAGAGTCTGGATGAAAAAAAAAGCTTAGTGTATGACTTACTGAACTAGATAGCAATGCCAACTAAAACTTTGTGGAAGAAAAAAAACCCAGAAGACTTCTTTGTTCCCCAAAACGTGCACATTACAAACTTTATGGCAGACAGGTGTACTTGTGTGTTCCAAAATATGCAGTCAACTCTTACTACTTTTCAACAAGAAATGTTGCCAGGCTTCCTGTTATTCCACTTCTCTTTACGGAATCTGTCGTGTGGTCTGCTGTGGGAGTAACACTAGAACTAAATCTTGCCAATTGACTCTTCCCCAGGAGAGTGCTGGAAAAAGTCTTTGATGAAGTCATATTGGTAAATGTCTTGGATAGTGGGGATTCAGCACACTTGGCGTTAATGAAAAGACCTGAGTTGGGCGTCACACTAACAAAGCTTCACTGCTGGGAACTGACACAGTTTTCAAAATGTGTTTTCATGGATGCAGACACAATGGTAAGTGGCTGTGTCTCATGGTACTTCTCAAAGTCCTAGTATCAGGATTGTTGGATTTTTTTGTGGTTTTTTTTAAGAGTAGGGATAATAGATGGACTAGTAACAGTAAGAATGTGTGTGCCTTTTAAACTAAATTAACTGTTATGAAGTCTGTGGGGACTATTTATGTCAAGTATTGTCTTCTGTAACATGAACACTGATAAAAGAACTTCCTTTCGTGTCTTAGTGTATTTGCCAAAATCCATGAAAAACATGATACCACAATTCCTAACCTAAAAGCATTTTTTTAAACTCCTTTACAATTAGGTTTTGTCAAATATAGATGAGCTTTTTGAGAGAGAAGAGCTATCTGCAGCACCAGATCCAGGCTGGCCCGACTGTTTTAATTCAGGAGTTTTTGTTTACCGACCTTCCATTGAAACATACAGTCAGCTGTTACAGTTTGCCACAGAGAAAGGCAGCTTTGATGGTATGTATTAATTTGTATTTCAGTGTAAGTTAGACCAAAATGGTCTAACAGTATTCAGGATGGCTCAGTAACCACATACATCTCATGGGGACTCTGTATGATAGAATTCTCAATGTAACCATGCAAAAATTGTATCCTTCTCAGAAACAGAGGCCATCATTACAATATGTAGTAAAATTACTTTTTTCAGGCTTAATGAAATAAAAACTGAGTTTGGCCTCCAGACTAACAGGTGTAGAATCATATAACAAGAAATGAAACTCCAGTACTATGCTTCAGACATCCCTAACATTCAAGGCTTGGATGTTCTATACTAACTCAAGCTGCTATAGAAAAAATAGTACTGGTCAACTTGAGCACAGCTTCAAAAAATCAAACATTTGAAGATACAGAAACCTCTTTGTATGCTATATGATGGCTTCCTGTCATTATAGGGTGCATGTAGTAGCCTTGGTTGCTTCCTACCATAGGTTACTTGGGATCTGCCACTGTACCAGGTTTCAGCTTGAGAAACCAAGTTGTGCTGTCCTGTAAATCTACTTAATCTGTTACTGTTGCAGGAAAAGCTTATGTCCCTTGGAGACAGCTGTAGTTAAAAGCTTCACTGTCTCCTGTCACTTAATTTCATTATGTAACTACTGTGGTAGAAAGCAAAGTCTAACTGAAAAAAATATAGAAAACGATGTAAATAAGACCATAAAATAAAACTCTCAGATAAAAGGTAATGTTGACTTACCTCTCAGTACTTTGTGAAAAGCAAAATATTCAGATGTCACTTCTAGCCTGCAGAATAATCCTTGTTACTGTAGGGATTCTTCTAAAGAACATTGAGCAGTTGCATGCTCAATGCTACCTAAAGAAAATTAATACTGCCATGTAATAAAGGTCAAAGGTGCAAACTGATCATCAGCTATAGCAAAATCTGTAGCATAATTCTGAATTGTTGCATTAAAACAAACAAAACCCCCCAAAACCAACCAAACACCCTGTCCTACCCCCCCTCCCGAAAAAAACCCCAACCCCCCCAAAAGCAACCAATCAAAAAATCCCCAAATGAATAGAACTCTTTTTACAATATGCTTTCTGACATGAATGCTAAAGCCACGCAATGGTGAAACTTCCTCTGTCCTAAATGCAAAGCAATTGTTGCAGCATTAACAGCAAAAACAGTGGGCTAGTTGTTTTGTTATCAAATTTCTAGAACTGTAATTTGTACTTCAGCTTCAAAATCTTAGTTTTTATTAAATGGTAGCACTGGTCTGAGTAATGATGCCATGGAGACCTAGACCATCTGTATAAGCTACTGCTGAGCTCAGGAACTTCGTAGGGAGAAAGGGAATTGAAAATTAAATTGACCTAGAGAGTAATAAAAGGGCCTAGGAAATTTAGTAAGAGAAACCTATGAAGGGTCACTGCTTTTAATGGGACACAGGGATGCAAGCTTAACAACCTACCAAACTATGTGTAGTTGAAGTCAAGCTGCAAGTGCCTTGTGTGCAGTAGGAGTAACTAGGGCATAGTAGACCTTCTAGAATATTTCCTGTATGTAACAGCAGACTGCTGCCTCCATTACTGTTGTCCAGAAATGGAAGAATGATGGCTACGTATGTAGACATCTACTCTGTCTGTCTAAACTTCACGTTTGTAGATAACAAAGAATATGTCATGCAACTACTCTAGATACAATCTAAAAGTAGTGGATAGGAAAGAAAAGTTGGGTTTAGAAGAAATCTGGTAGTCCTGCTACCTTAAGAATGTTGCTGTTGCTTAGACAATCCTCTTGCTCTTTAGCCTGGGATCCAAAATAGTCTTGCTGTATTGTACATTGATATGTATCTGTAAATATGCAGTTAATATTAAGTACTGCCTGATTTTTCACCCTGTGTGTGAGATCCTGTTTATATAACAATACTCCTGTTGAAGTCTGAATTAGGACAGCTAGATACTGCTCTCATTGTCTGCTTTGGCACAAATGCAGGCAATCTGAAAAAAGGCCAAGGATGTAAACCAATCTGAGCCAGAAAAAGTCCTGTGGAGTAAGTTACATACACGGTTGCTGCCCCCTCGGTTCTCTTATGATGGATACCAGTTTTTCAAAAGTGCTTTCCTTCCTTTACAGATTGAGAGGCAAGTCAGAGATTTGAAATTGCTGGACTGAGTCTCTGGCTGTTTCTCATTCTGCAATCTGCATGTATGCTGACAGCTGTAACAGGATACCTAGAATTTATATTTGTCAGTGTACTGTCCGTACATCTAAGTTTATGCCTAGTGTCTAGATACTTCAGCTGCAAAAAGCAAATTCTGCTCAAATGGCACTGATGGTATAAACCTTAATACTGCCCTAAATCGAATCATAGGCCAATAAAAACCTTTTCCTGAGTCAGCAGAGACTGGGTGCTTAAGAAAATGAAAGATTAAAATGAAACATTGTCTGCTAACTAAGCTATCCACTTACCTCCCCCTTAGTAATGCTACTTGTGCATGCAGTGATAGGTGAAAGAATACAGCAAGTGAAAGTCAGAGGACTCCCTTCAATCTCCTTGATAAGAGGGATTATTACCATTTAAAGACTAATTGTATTCATTATGACAAAGAATGAATGGATGTAGATAAATAGGTTTTTACTTCTCAGTTGCTGCTTATAAACTAGTCTACTCTGGCCTGAAGGCTATATTTATTTTTTAGCTAATCTACTACTGAGATAGCAAACAACTTCAGATTCACTTAACCTTGTAACAACCTCTACTTGCAAACTAAGACATGACCCTTCAGAACACAGATTGTTATCCTCATTTAGTGGTTAGTCAGGAGCTTTTTAGTACAGAATTAGAAACACCTGTTATCTGTTAAGGAATTTGATGGAGTTTTCCTATAATTGTCAACAAGACTACATGTGCTTTTCTTATCAGATCAGTGTGGAGGTAGATGCATCTGGCACTGCAGGTCTAACAGGCCACTGATACCCTAACTCTGTCAGTGAGATGATGTTGGTCATGCATCTGTAAGCATAAGTAATAAAACTTATTGCTGCCATTTGATCTTCTGAGGTACAGCTGAGCAGTGCTCAGTTGTACTGTTTTATTGTGGGGTGTTGTTGCTGTGTTATACAGATTGAACTTAAGCTGTAAAAGAAACTAAATGGCAGAGTTTGTGAGCAGCTTCCTATCTTTAACAAAAGTAACCCCATATATACTATTTCATTCTCTGCGCTTTTGGAATATTCAAAGGGCAGAAGGTTTACAGGGTTGTTCACAAATAGGACTGTAGTGCTCTGTGCCAGACTTCGACAGGACATGATAACTGCATTACCAACTCCTGCTTAGTAAAGTGACTGAAAAAGATCTTCAAATAGCTGTCTGATGCTCATAGCCTATTAATGCTTTCTCTTTTAGGTGCAGATCAGGGGTTATTAAACACCTTCTTCAGCAGCTGGGCAACAACAGACATAAGCAAACATCTACCGTTTATTTATAATTTGAGCAGCACTTCTGTATATTCCTACCTTCCAGCATTTAAAGCGTAAGTTGAAAACTTCAAGAAGACCTTCAGAGCTTACATAAACTAATTTCTTGTAACAGAATGAACAAGCATGATGTGAGCTTACACAGGTTTTTTAGAAGTAGACTGTTCCTGCCACTCAAAATACCGTAATTTCTTCTCTTAAAAAAAAAAATTGAATTGATGAAAATCAAATTCAGCTGTATCTGCAGCTTAAACCACTCATCCCTGGTAATAACACTGAAGTTGAGTAAGCACATTTGACAGGTCACTTGCAAAAGGAAAAACCACTCCTCCAGTACAGGATACAGTCTAGACAAGTTCCAACCAATGGCAGCAGGCTCTTTAATCAACTTGAGCTGACCTTCAGCATGTCACTAGTGGTCTCCTTCCCACTTAGATAACTTGCCCTTTCTTCACTCCAGTTACTTAGGGTATTTAACAACCAGTAGTTACAGTTTCATCTGATCAACCTATACCATTCAAATAAGTGTGGTGAAAAAAGATTTGTATCAAGCTAGAATTCTCTCCTAACAGTCTTTCTAGACCTCTGTCAGTTCCTTAAGTAACAGCAAGATGGAACAAATACAACCGACCACATATCATTGCATATTTCCTCTGTGACAAAGCCTGTATCCTCGCTAGCTAGCAGAGTTAGTGTGGCATGTGAGTAAACTGTATGTCAGAGGCAGGGTTGTTGAAAGTGTTATAACAATCCAGAAGAAAGGGGGTGGGGTGAAGGGGGAAAGAAGGGAAACTGAAGTGTTACACAGAAACTCTATCTATTATGAGCTACAGAAGTTGGAGGCAAGGAAGAGGGAAAGTGCCAAGTGCATAAAAACAATCTGATCTCTGAATGACATCAGGTTACTAGTGTCTAAAGCAGCAGCTGGCATTAGCAGGCCTTGCTGGCTCAAGATCAAACTATGTCTTGTGATCAGAATACTATTTGGAATCTTGTCATGCTAAAAGTGGAACACTTATTTAAAGAAATATATGCAAGCCTCAGAATGACTAAGTAGCTGGATAGCATTTGATAAACTAACATCTATTGTAAAGTAGATGTTTCCATGGCTGGCTGTCAGTCACGTGACCTTAATTTTACAAATTACTTAGTTGCCACAGAACACTAATTGGATCTGGGAGTTCTTGACAAAAAATTATCTTTAACTGATTGAATCAGTTGCTTAACTGAGTTCATCAGACCTTCAAAAATAGAATGCTGGAAGTGCAGCCCTTGTAAGCAACACTCCCTGCTCAATAGGTGGAACAAGTTCCCTTGGTTAGATCAGCAGCTACACTCTTGATAATCAACTGTTAGAATATAGTGAAATTTAAACCTACTGACAGTAATAGCTAAGTTTTTTGCAGCTTTGTACAGTGAGACTAGATTTCACAGCAGTCTCAGTAATCCTTTTTCCAAAGGAAAATGCCAATTCATGACAAATGCTCTCTGACTTCAAAACATTGATGAAGGACTTTTCTGGGAGATGTGGAAAGACAGATTAGTTGCTGAGGCCAGTGTAGACATAAAGCTTCCTAACAGTTGAGCTTAAATGCCCAAATAAAGTATCGCAGGTCCAGAAAGTATCTAGAAAGCAGATGCTGAAAACATTGTAGAAGCTTGGCATCTGTTGTTCTGACTGTAAGTAGACAGGATACCAAGAGTATACTTCTGTATTTGCAACAAATGTTGTGATACTTCTTATGCATTCTATTCTCTTGATTTTTGAACAATATGTTTCCTTAGAATAGCAGCAGCCCAAGATAAAGAAAACTCAGGTTTAGTACTGACAGCTAATAAAACTAAGGTAGTCCCCTTATGCTAAATCTTGACTTTTGGGGTTTAAAGTTAAAGCCCAGTAACTGACCACTTGAAGACACTTTTTTTCATGCAGTTAAAGCAAATACTTGGACTTTCATGCACACACAAGTCTTCATTCTGCAGTAAGTTCAGTTGTGTTGAAAACATTGAACATGAACATTGAAATATAGTCAAGGACCTTAAAACAGTATGAAACCTACAACCCCATCCAAATGCATACTTGGTTTGAATATTCTATGGCTTTTGAAACACACCCGTATTGTCTCCATACACAAAACTCTTTAACACCCGAGTCCTGGTCAAAATGACCAGCATCTGCTTAATAAAACATAAGCCAAGCTACTTGATGTTACTCTCCATTTCAGTCATATGATGTTGACAAGAAAGCCTAATGTGATACAAACTGAACTAGGTGACATAGTCACTGTTAGCAGACAGACTAGTATTGCTTGTTCACAAAACTGAATCAAGCTAAAACCCAGCTCTGGAACTGTAGGAGAATGACATGAATGTTGTCTCTTTCAGTGTTTAGTTCTTTACTTGAGAAGAGGTTCATCTCATCTTTACTTTTAATACAGAAGAACATACTGATAACAGCTGGGACAAAGGGAGAAGTCCATATTGAAAGTAGTTTAAATGGTTTCAAAAAGAAACAAAACCCACTAACAAACCCACGCATGGTTGCCCTAAGGTTATTTAGGAAGTAAGGGTTGTCTAAGCAAGACCCTGCTGCACCAAGATCAGGAGTGTTCTGAAATGCCTTGGTTCTACAAAGTTGCTATTTTTCAAGGACATGGTCTCCTTGCAGCAGAGCCATCCAATGATCCATTTCTACAGGGCTATAAACTGAAAGGGTAACTCTTAACACTGACTGTTCTCTACATAATACTTGTAATGCTTAACTCTCTGGCTTGCTGACTTTGGAGTAGAATCTTTTTCACTTTTAAAACCAGTTCCGATTGCAACGGCTGCTTGAGACTGCTCTCCCCTGAGCTATGGACATGACCCTAAAGACTTGAGTTGTCTGTAAGTATTTAAATAGCCCAGACCACTAGGTTTTGGCTGTATTCTGACTAGTGCAATGTAGAATTCAGCTTGCATTTTTTCCATTGTTTCACAATGCTTTCAGTCCCAATAGGCATTGGCAGTTTGATAATTTAGCACTTAGCCACCTAAATATTCATATTTCTGTTTTCTGGACAAATACAGAAATAACAGGTTAAAAAAAGTTATGTCTGACTGTCTAAACTCGTTTTCTAGACATATGTACAAACTGACTTCTAAAATTTTTCTGCCCAACAGGTTTGGTGCAAATACTAAGGTAGTGCATTTCCTGGGAAGCACAAAGCCATGGAACTATGCATATGACTCCAGAACAAAAAGCATAAAGGGCAACATGGATGACCCTAAAATAGTTCACCCAGAATTCCTCAACATGTGGTGGGATACCTACGTAGCTGATGTTTTACCATTACTAGAACAGCATGGAATTGTTAAAGAAATTACTCCAGGGGTAAATATGGTACGTGTTCTAATAATCTTGCGCATCCATACCTAAGTATGGATGACAGGTTATTTACCATTGCATCAATTTCCCTTCCCTCTGTCCATCTCAAAGCATGGGTGTGGTTTAGTTTGTGGGATGCAGGGTATTTTAGTTTTGTCCTTTTAAGCTTGGAATAAATAATACTATAAAAGAGAAGCATGCTAGACAGGTCTTGGAGACAGCTGTATGCTTGCCTAAAACAAACTGTGTACATAGTTAATGTAGCACCAGGTCTTATACTGTAGTAACTTCTTTAATTTATACAGAGAAGGATCTAAGTCCTCTGTCTTTCAGCTAATAAGGTTCTCAAGGAGAAGAACCCCAGTTCAGCATGCAAATATGTACATACAGATCTTGCATGGTGAATCACATTGCCTAGGACAACCAAAGTAATGCTTCTAACTGTAGTTGTCATTCACAGAGTTTAGCAGCCTGCATCTGATTGCGGACTTCTTAGTCTTAGCTTAGTACATGAAACAGTTTAAGTTCTTAGCCTTTCTAAGACCAAAGTTACTGACATCTTCAGATGTGCTTCTCTTGGTAATCTTGCATCTTTCTAACAAACTATTTGCAGCTATCGGGCTTGGTCTATACTCTGGCTTTCTCTTGTGGCTTCTGTAGAGAGGTATGAAGAACTGAAAATTTTCTTTTTTTTTTCCCCTCGCTAACATCTGTAACTCTGCTTTGTTATTTTGCTAGGAAAGCTGCACAATCCCTACCCATTGGCAATGCTTGCTACTGCGCATGATAACATCAACTTTGTTGTCCCATTCTATGGCTTGTTGTGCACTTTAGCTGCACAAAGTATTTCTATATTTTTACTCTACCTTTCCTTTTAGGCAGAAGTTACAGAGGCAGTGTCCCACGTATCAGTATCACCACTATTACCAACTGAATCTTCAGAAGAACGCAAGGAACGGTGGGAACAGGGCCAAGCTGACTATATGGGAGTGGATTCCTTTGACAACATCAAGAAGAAACTTGATACCTACCTTCAGTAGAAGTGCCTGTCTCAAACAGTGGTGATGCAAGGACTTGTTCCAGAACTAACAGCTAGAAAGGGATAGATGGTGGTCAGTTACACTTGCTAGTAGCTTGAGGAAAAACTTCTTGGCTGAAGGCCTCTGCAGTGCTACAGATGAAGACTGAGCAAAAGCTAGGAAGCAGAATCCTTGGGCCACCTATTACTGCCCAATTTCCAATTCTCCATACTAGATAAAGCCAGGTATTTTCAGCTTAAAATTTCTTCTGTTTTGATCAATTGGCTCAACATATTCTTTAAACTGGGTTTGTTACCTCACCTCATTAGGTGATTAGCATTGATTCCTTTGCTTGCTGTTTTAGATGTAAAATCTAATTCATGGGATTGCTCATACACTGGAGTGGTAGCCATTCTGCTTTACCATAAATGTATTAATGACACTGGGATACATACATGTAACAGTAATAGCACTGCTTTGCTCTTCCAGTCACAATTGCACTGAAATTTTGACCAGGTTCTTACGCACAGTGCCTGCAGCATGGCAGAATGCGTTTTTCAGTTCTGTATACTATGGGACTAGTAAACTGAGTTTTATCTGTTCCTTGCAATGTTGCACTTGATATAAAAATAAAAAGTTGTCATGCATTTCTGTCTTCCCTAAACTCTTGAGCAATTAAAAGAAGGAGCTTTAAAGCAGTCTAACTAAAATATTCAACAGGTATAAATATCCCTTAAGCTTTGCTGATGTTACTCAAGCTCTCATTAGCAAATGTCCATATTTTAGTTCATAATTATTTAGAAGTACTTAGTCATTTGCTAGGGAGTTGTTTAGGGCCAATCCCTGTATTAACTTGTCATAAATATAGGACAGGGCACATGAGGAAGTACCTGCTGAAGGTGTTTACATTAGTAACTTGAAGTTTGGGAAGAAGGCATTCTTCTTTCAAGTGACTGAAGAAACATCCCTAATGTAAGCCCTGTACACTGAACTTAGTCATAAAAACAACTGTGATACTAGTTGATTAGAAAGATTACATAGCTGCTTAAGTAACTGTACCTATCCTGGTAAGGAAAACTACTCTTTCCATGTATAAAGACAGTAAAGGAAGTGCTTTTTTTGCCACACTCAGGCCACATGTTCTCCACGACACATGGAAAAGCAGTAAAAATAAAGCATGCTGATGACAGACAGATTGCCTGTCATCTGTACTAAGGTTTTCTATCCTTTAGTCAAAAGTCTAAACAGAGCAAAATTAGTGTTTTTTGACAGCTGTACCTTTCACAAATCCAGAAACACTAAGAAAATATAAATTCCTTATTTCCTAGTAAAGGAGGATTTTGGCTGGTGATGGTGCTAAATCTTGAGCCTAGAGATAAAATAAACAATCAACAAGCTCTCACCATTTGCTGGTAAAGCAGAAGACATGAGTATAAGGGTTGGTATATTTTAACTTGTTTTCACTACTTAATTCCTCTATGATTTAGTTGTTCACCATTTAGAAAAAATGCTAAAAGATGAGGTCCAAACCAAAGTAGCTTGTAGCTACTTAAAAGAACATAGTGTCTGAACTGCAGGTTGTAACTAGCCCTTTCCTGTATGGGTTTTTCTTTTGCTGTGTTTTTTTTTTTTGTTTATTTGTTTTGTTTTGTTTGTTTTTTAACATATAAATTTGAAGTTGTGTGAAAGCAGGAGGGATTACTAGTTACAGTCTGTAATGACAAAAGTACACTTTATCAAACAAATATTGGAGAGTTCTGCATACTCAAAGACTACTCTACGGAAAATGGTAACATACTCTTTTAAAGCCAAGTCTACATTGTTCTCCCCTTGTCTGTATTCATACTGGAGAGTAGGGACATTACTTCTTTTTAAGCTTAGTTGGAGAGAACCAAGGAAGTGTAAAAGTATGATACTTATTACCTGCCTGAAAATTTGGTTTAGCACGTATGTTTCGTTACATTATACAATAAGATAAGGAGAGATGCTGAGCAAGATGAAAACAAGCATGTTTTTGATTAACAAATGCAGTTAGTGAAGAAAGATCACCTGTGAAAAGAATTCTGCTGTAGCCTCTGTAATTCATACTGTGATCAAGTGTTTAACCATGGCCTCAGGAAAGGTATGACATCTATACCAAATTCTATGCAGCTTATTTTCAATAAAATGACCTTTATGTCATTATTTGCCACTATTTCCTTCACAATTGCTGTAGGCAGCTTTTGCAGAAAAGCAAAAATCTGTTTTTTCCCTTGCAATAGCATCACTTGATACATCAAGCAGTTTTCTGCTCTAATCGGAATGTACTCAAAACAGCACTATACTCTAAACATCATTATTCAGAAGAATCACAGCATTGCTTAGATTGCAACTCAAATATTGGAACTTCATTTGCCATTATGAAGCATATAATCTAAGGTTTTCCTTAAATGGTGACAGCTCAGAGCAACTCTTAAAAGCTTAAGAAGCATTTTTTCCATATACATCTTTGTTTTATGTATAAGGTAAGGAAAAAAAAAAGGAACAAAAACCCCCAAACAAGCAAACAAAACCCAGTCAAAATCAGAATGACAGGCTACTAACTCAATCTTTGGAATTAAAAATAATTCCAAAAGCTTACTCCTAGAACATACCATTCAAACCTCACAAAAGAGAATGCCAAAAGCCAAAGACTACTTACACATCATGAAAAGCAGAAGAAAAATCCCAAATAGTCAGAACACCAAGGTGTTCAACCACTTGCTTACTGAACAGCTCCATCAAATCAGACGGGACTTTTCTGTGCTCAAGTTTTACATCTTTTCTCTCAGATATATTAATATGGCTTTCTTGGGAGAGACCATAAAGCTCAGTACTACCTTCAGTAAGTTATATATGGCTTTGGAACTTGGAAATAATAATCTAATAGATAAAAAAAATACTAGTAATTGGTTTTAGTTGTTTTCATAATCATACTAAGCTATTTTACAAAATGTCAGCATATGTTCACATAAGTAATGATGTAGCTTGACTAGCCATAGAAATGGTACTCTTGCCTGTGAAATTCTTACTTGCAAAATGGACATAACAAAAAAGAGGCCAAATCCTCTTTCATAATTTCAAATTATTTTCCCAGCTTATTTCTAAATATCAAAATCTGTAACAGCAAAACACAAAGTTTAACTTACATAAACTCTATGCCAAACCAAAAAAAAAAAACCACAAAAAACCCCCAAAAATGGCACTCAAAACCCAACTTCAATCAGGTTTAGGTGTTTTCTTGTTCTTTTTCAGCTTTCCAGTGGCAATCAGATACTGGGGTTCATGCTTCCATCGGTTGTGTCCTTGTAATTCTTTCTCTAACAGACTTGAAGTATGCCCTTCTCCATAGCTAAGGTCCTGGCTCTCCAAAAATGGCATCAGTTTGATAGTTTGCTTGTTTTTACTTCCTTTTTCACTCCTTTCATTAGCCCATTTGCTTCAGATAGTAGATATCTTCCCTTTATTTCTCAGTCCTTTTCCACTTCCTACGTTTGCAATTCATCTTATTATCAGCAGGTTGATATTTTCAGACGTAAGAGATGAAAGGCTTTACGGACTCCATTTCTCTGCTGTCAAGTACACTTCCCAAATCTAAAGAGGACATAGATATAGCAATCTATGACTCAATTCAAAGTCTGAGCATCGCAGTGAAGGGAGCAGAATATGTGTTAGGTAAACACATTATCAGAAGACAAGAATCAAACGGAAAGACAGGAACAGACATAAATACTCAGCTAATGCTCAACTGAGATTCTTCAGCGCTGTTTTTTACTCTGTGGTACATGAATGGGTGTAGTTTACCAAGTCCTTCCTCCATAAGTCAAGCGGCATGCAGATCAGCATTCCATTGAGACATATGTATGGAAGTGAAAAACGTCATTTTTCCACTGCAAGTGGAAAAGCAGTAAAGGAAAACTGTTAGAAAGCTGGCAGCTATAAAATAATTTATTTTAATTTATTTTGCAAGGACTACCTCATTCACTGACACACGAGTGGATCAGATTCTACTTTGCATCTAGCATGGTCTTATTGTTCAAAGTGTCTATTGAAATTACTAGATAGCATATTACAATACATGCCTATGATTCTAGCATTCCATCAAAAAAAAAATTCACAAAAATCATTGGAGTTCTGTTAAGTAAAATCTTAAAAGTAAGTGTTTCACAAATTTAAGTACTGCCTTTTTACTAAGTCCTAATTTTACACTTTCTACAAGTATTCAGAGAATTGTTGGGAAAAAAACCCCAAACAGTCAGACATGATGGCATTATGGTAGTGTAGGTCACTTCCAAGTGAATGGATCAATGCGGTCCATACAGAGACAATATTTGTGAAGATGCATTGTGATTCATGAAAAAAATTCTTTCATGGCAACTTCTCCATACTCTCACTCATACTTAATTTCTTTCATTTATTAAATAAATAGGTTTTGTCTTTGTACTGTTACTATCCATGACCTGATGTCCAAGCTTTTTCCTTACGATTGGCAGTGATGGATGCCCAAGTCCAAAGCTAAACTATTGTTTTAATTTACTCTGTTTCTTTCAAGTGCAGATTTTGTTACAGTTTCCAACTGCCAAAAAAATTTGGGAATTACACCAGAGGAGTGAACAGGGGAAGGCAGGAAGTGAATAGAAAACCCTTAATCTGGTACAATGACACAACACATAAATCAGTTTTGCTAAGGAAACCGTTTTGTTATCAATAAAGATAATTTGCATTTTTATTCTTTACAAATAATTTTGCATTTCTGAGTGCTTTAATGAAAGGAAACAAACTTCCTAAATGTAAGTATTACCAATTTCCCATGACCACAAAAGGTAACCTCAGACTAATGTCTTAATTTGTAAATAAATTCTCAGTAATAGCAGAAGAGACTAGAACAGACAAGTACTACATTAAATATATAGTGTTCCTCAAATTCCACTTTATGGCTTTTGAAGTTCATAACAAACAGAAAGTCTCATTCAAAAGTATCAGAAAGAAAGAGAGATATGAAGAATGAACATAGCATATGCTACACTGTAAGATGTCATACCACTCTGTCAGTAGTATTACTAGTATTCTTTCCACTTATAGCAAATAAATGGACAGCAAAAAATATAGTGTTAAAACAAGAAGATGCTAGGGAAACAAATGAAGGAAAGTTCTATTTGTCTTTTAAACAGATACTCATCATTGTCATTCTTTCTCAGACAGGTTTTCCTTCTGCCTCTTAGAAAAACACCAAAGAAATTTCACCTAGATTAAGCCATATCATTATGAACAACCCATTACCACAGGATCCATTAAAAACACCAGGAAAGCTGCTGTCACATTTAATCCAACGCCACCCATTTTCAGAGACAAAAGCATTATAGTTCAGGACCCTGCTTGGTTGCTTTGGAAACAACAAATTGCTTTCATTCGTTTCTTCTGTGCCATTGACCCATCCAAATGAATAAATGCAAGCCCTGATTCTCTAAAGAGAAAGTAAAAATGTTGAATTTAACAATCCATTTTGGGTGACAACAGGAAATAAATACATTAAAATCCTCACCTCTGCATATAAGCTCCATTTTCTTTGAGAGATCATTCTAA